CACCAGCCTCTTCGCCGCCCGCCTGCTCCGCCGCCCCCAGCCCGAGCCTCCCTGAGCCCCGAGACCCCCTCGGAAAAGACTTCGTGTGTGTCCGTCTCTCACGTCAATAAAAGTTTCTTTTATTCCGAGCGCTCTCTGTCCTTATTGGCCGAATCCTGGCCCACCTCTCGTTTTTGACTGGTTACTTTCCAGGCCTCGTCCCTCTGATTGGATGTTCTCACCAAACCCCTTAATGATGAAAATTACGGCCTCCTCCGCAAGGAGGCACTGGCGGGCTTCCGCCCGAGCGGCCCCGCGGGGTCAAACTGGGATCCCAAGTGCAAGCACTTGCGGGAGATCTCGGACAGAGAGGCTGAGAGGCTAATAGCAACGCAACCTGAATGGCCCTCAGTCTCAGAGTTGGGAAGAATCTAGGAGGGATGGATGGGCACTGTCAGAAACTCAGAATGTCCACCCCGGTCGTGAATTCTACCTTGATGTTGCCAGGTTTTCAGATTTTGTTCAAGCGAAGCTGAAAACCTGAAATTCCATAAACATCTCTGTTTTCAAATGTTGGCAACTAATTCAATATTTTTTAATGGTTGCACAAGCCCAACACGCCACGTATGCTGGCCTGCGAGGGTCATCAGTTTGTGACGTTCTGGGTCTTTGATAGCAAGGATTTGACAATTGGGATCTGATTTTTAACCTCATGGTGGTATGATAGGTTGTAAGTTATATTCACAAAATTTGAGGACATTGCCTGGCACCTAGTAGGTGTGAAAGTGCCAGTATTGCAACCTAGCAGGGCTGTGAGTCCAGTTTCTACGGAACCCCTGGCACCTAGCCATTTCATAAGTGCTCAGAAAATTTTTATTATGAATCAATAAATCTCCATGTTTTTAATTAAAACGCACCCGAGGTGCAGAAAGGTGACCTCACTGCTCTGGAATTCAACCTCAGGAATATCAGATTCTTAACCAAGCCAGGGTTTGGAGGTGCAGAGAGGAGGAAGTTTCTGTCCTAAGATGTTCAAGGTTGGAGGACCAGGGAGGGCGTAGAGCCTCACTCAGCAAAGTACAATAAGAGATAAAAGCAGATGCTGCTGTTGGAATGGAAGGTGCCCTGTTCAGGTTTGGGATTGTTGGGCAGGGCCTGCCATGGGACCTCCTGGGGAAGGATGTGGGGTGGGAGGGAGAGGGCACAGTGGAAATACAAGCTTGGTTCTTGGGGCTGAGACCCAAGCTAAGGCCTCGTGGGGGCAAGGGGTGGTAATATATAAAGTTATTCATTTAATAGCCATATATGGATGCTGACTCAGAGCCAGGCACTTACAATCACCTATCTCAGAGTCTCACTGATGATAAGAAACACAGGGTGTTAATTACCCAGTATGTACCAGGCCCTGTGCTAAGTGCTTTATCTGCATAATATAATTCAGTCCCTGCAACTACTGTGAAGTAAGCTCACTTGTCATCTCCATGCTGCACAGACGGAAGGCAAGGTGGAGGCAGATTATGAAGCTTGCCCAAGGTTCCACTGCTAAGTGAGTGGCTAAGGAGTATTGAAGGACAACCATCTCCTTCAGCCTCAGTTTTTCTCCCCAAAGCCTCTCACATGGTTTCTTTTCTGTACGCTCTTATGATTGCGCCACTCACTCTGGCTGTCACTTACCTGCATTCCCACTGGTTTTCCTAGTCAGACAGTGAGCTCGAGGAGGGCAAGAAGCAGATGTCTCTTGTTCATAGAGTTATCCCCTCCTCTAGGAAGCCTTCACTCACCACTACAGTCTAGGGCAGGTGTTTCCTGTTGTGTGTCCTCCATCCGGGACTTGGCTCCTCTGCCTGTACCTCCCCCATCCTGCCATTACCACTTTGCCTGAGTTTCCCAGGCTAGCCCACCCTGAGCTGTCACTGGCTACTCTATCTCCTCACTGGACTAGGGGCTCCATGAGGGTAGGGCCTGAGGCTCACTCACTCCTGGCTATGTCCCAGCATCACCCCACCCACAGCTGGGCACAGAAAAGATATCAGTGAATATTTGTTGCATAGATAAACAAGTGAGTTTCAAAGTTGCTATCATGGTCCCTTCCATGTTACTGAGGAGGTTCCGGGGTTCCAGGTAATTTAGGTGCTTTGTCCAAGTCATATACAACTAGTGAGGGGGAAAAGCAGGGAACTGAATCTGGGCAGCTTGAGTCCATAGCCTATGTCCCTTATCCAACATGCCAAATACCTAGTGGGCTGAACACCAGCTTTCCACGAGGTTGAAATCTTCCTGTCTTTCTCCCAGACTTGTCCTTTCCTTCTAGAAGGTTTTGGGAGCTTTGGGCATGGGGGAGGAGAGCAGGCAGGAGGGTGGGGAGAGTAAGGTGAGTGGGGAGGAGGAAGAGGTGGGCTGGAGAGTGAGGGCTGCAGCTGATTTGAAGGAGAGAGTGGCGAAGTCTTGAGGGGTTTCTCTAGACCCATAGGGGGCAGCCGGAGTCGGCTGCCAGAGGTGTGGGGGCGGAGAAAGGGTGGGGACCGGCCCCGCGGGGGGCGATGCGGTAGCTGCAGCGGCGGCCGCAGGAGTTTCCCACAATGCAGCGCGGCGCGCTGTCCCCGGTGCTGATGCTCAGCGCAGCCCCAGAGC